TCACAGCTCACAACAACCTCCAACTCCTGGGCTCAAGCGAGTCTCCTGCCTCAGCCTCCCAAGTAGCTGGGACTACAGGCGCCTGCCACAACGCCCAGCCATTTTTAATTGCAGCCATCATTGTCGTTTGGCGGGCCCGGGCTGGGGATTTGAACCCACCACCTTAGGTGTATGTGGCTGGCGCCTTAGCCGCTTAACCCACAGGCGCCGAGCCCCGTATTCCTTTTTTTTTTGAGACAGAGTCTCACTATATCACCCTTGGTAGAGTGCTGTGGCATCACAGCTCACAGCAAACTCTTGGGCTTAAGCAATTTTCTTGCCTCAGCCTCCCAAGTAGCTGAGTCTACAGACATCTGCCACAGCACCTGGCCTTTTTGTTGTTGTTGTTGTAGTTGTCATTGTTGCTTAGCAGGCCCAAGCCAGGTGTGAACCCACCATGTGGCTGGAGCCCTAACCACTGAGCTACGGGTGCCGAGCCCCCTTATTCCTTTTATGAGGAAGAGATTATCAGAGTTAGGAGTTGTTGATTCCTTTTTTTTGAGACAGAGTCTCAAGCTGTTGCCCTGGATAGAGTGCCATGGTGTCACAGCTCACAGCAACTTCAAACTCTTGGGCTGAAGTGATTATCTTGCCTCAGCTTCCCAAGTAGCTGGGACCACAGGTGTCTGCCATGACGCTCATCTATTTGTTTTTTTGTTGTTGCAGTTGTCATTGTTTTTTTTGGCTGACCCAGGCTGGGTTTGAACCTGCCAGCCTCGATGTATGTGGCCAGCGCCCTACCCACTGAGCTGCGGGTGCTGCCTCTTGATTCCTTTTGCATATTACTCAGGAGTCTCACATTTTCTGGGAGAAACTGCTCAGGAACTTACTACCTATGAGTGGCAACTAGTTTTTCCCATCCTTACCTTCCAGGTGTGCAAGGGCCCTCCCCAACATGAGGAGATCTGCCTGGGCCTCCTTACTCTTGTTCTCACTGAGCCTGCCCAAGCCCAGAAGGTAAGACACCTGCTCTGAAGCCCTTTTTAGGCGCCATCCGGGATGCAGTGGAATGTACAGTTGCACTGGGGTAACCTGACACTCTTTAGCCAGAGCTGGATCACCTCATTCTCCAGATACATATATACCTACCTCCTTCTTACCTCAATGAACTGGTCATCCTCCAGATAAAGTCGTTCCCACATTCTGGAGCTAAAAGTCAGGAAAAAGCACATAAGAGTATTAATTTTAGATTAAAGAGGCAAGGATTGGAATTTAATCCAGGGCAGAGAAGAAAACAACTATAACCAAGTCCATGGGCGTTCTTATCCAGAAGAACATGACCTGTAGTTTGCAGGTTTTGCCATTGGCAACCGAATAGAAAGTAGGCTTAAAATTGCACAGGTAGGATTTAGATGAGACAGCGTAATACTGTATGATTGATGCAGTAAACACTGTGATAAGAGTTATCCTGAGGTACACTGGAGTCAGACTTCCTGAGGAACATCATATAGAAACTAGTCTGGTGTTCTTCACAAACAGAAGAGTTTACCCTAACGTAGAAAGGTTTAAGTAGGGTCCTTCCTTGAGGTGAGGGACTAGGCAAGGGTGATTTCTTTGTATTCTGTTCTTTTCATAATTAAGTACCAAAATTCTGTTTTCTGCCCCTCTAGATTTTCCCTTTCCAGCAATTCTGTGTACTTTGAGTCTTGCTATGATGATTTAAATAATGTCTTGTCTCTGGCATTAACTGTGTGACACTAACAAGAGGAGAGCTCAGAGTGTGGAATCCAGTGTTCTCATTGGCTTGTCCCCGAGTGAGGGTGATGTGAAAGCAGACACGTGGTCTGTGCCCAGCATTCTGTTGGGCCTTATCCAAATAAGGTCTCATTTGGTCCTTCCCCAAAACCATGAGGTTGCTGGCCTTATCCTCTCCCCCAGACTACTCCCAGTTTACCTTTGAGGCTTGAAGGTCAGAGATGTTGTTGTCAGGAAACCAAAGGGAAATCATTCCCAGGAATAGGAACAGTCTGCTCGTGGTCCCCTGGCACAGCTGCTGGACTTAGTCTTTTTTTTTTTT